ACGACGCTTTATATACTTTTCACTGCATTTATTCAAAATTTACTCGGATCAATGTCTCTACTATCCCACGGACGCGCGTTCTGATGAAAATGTCTAGTCCTATTATTTCGTTTTTTTTTACGATTTCATTCCCTACTCACATATAACATCAGTCTAGAGTTGTGCAGTGGCCCAATGTTCCTGCTTAATGAAATTTTATGCAAGTACTGAGAATTTCAGTTGAACCCATAGTTTCTGCCTGATTGTCTGTCAAAGCAGACAATCCAATCGCGCTATGCTGGATACCAGCAGAATTGAAATCAACCTCTCTCGGTTTCCCGTGGGAACATTGTTGTTTTCTTAGTTCATGTACTTTTTTAAGGTTTATCGCCCTCAAGCGTTTCTCCTATGGAGCCGTCTATTGTGTGTCTGGGCAGGGCCATCAAAAACTGCTAGTGAGCAGTATTTTATAAAAGTCGACGGCGTACGCGTCTGTCTGGGATGAAGGTCCCATCTTTGGCAGAGTAGTGCACCGATTGGTTAGTGTTGACAAGAGAGAGAGAGAGAGATTCAGCCCCCAGCCTGTTCTGCGTTTTTCTGCTGTAAGTGGCTTGTGCGCTTGTATTTTTTTTTCTTTAAGTCCCAATTGGGGTCTGTCTGTAGGTAACAAACAGCAGCTGGGGATGATTCCTCACGGCTAGTAAATGTGTGCCTGCGTAGCCGCTAGTTTGGCCTTTGGACTGCTTGACGGGTGCTTTTTCAGTTGAAATGATAGCATGGAGTCCTCACCGAATTGGTCTGGTGACTCACAACACTATTTTCTCAGTAGGTAACGAAGACTCCCCTATTTATGCTGCAGTGTGTTTATTTGCTTCATGTCGTAGTCTGATGAGTTTGCTTCCGCCGTCTGGCGAGCACGCAGTCACCAGTTCATGAAGGCTTGATACCAGCTGTTCTTTGTTTTTTTAATCGCTTGATTACCGTCAACGGACTTGCCATCTGCCCGCTCGCTTCTATCGCATTAGGATATCATTGCAGGATGTCGCGTTCTTGCGCCTGACTGTTAGGAAGACTTTCTAGCTGATAGTGTTCCTCATTTGCCGCTCTGTGTAGTGGACCCTCATCAGGCGATTCTGAAAGCTCAAGCCGCGATGAGCTGAGCGATCGACGTGCCCGCACTTTTTGTGGTTACGTGGATCCCAGCTATTTGCCTCTTGTCGGGGACTTGACTAACCGATTTCAAACCTAGGGACAGGAATATGCCCAAAGGTAGAAACTGGAAGTACCAGGAATTCCTTGCTTGCCTATTACGAGGTTTTGTGTTTGCTCCTACAGCGAGCAACGCGGTAGATGCGCCGGATCAAAACGTGAACCAGATCAGGACACGACAGAAGTTTTTGGGAATGCGCACCCAGAAGAAATGCTACGCATAGGGGAGGGAGGATGGTGGCAGGCCCATACCGCGCCAGCGAGCCAACCACGCCCGCCTCTGGTGGATAAGGGAGGAGGCAGTGGAGTAGATGCCGCACAAGTCACAGTCTGTGTGCCAACCCCTATTTGGGGTACACGGTGGACGTCACCAGAAACGACGACCGAGCTACCATCATGACAGTCTGCATACATAAACGTGTAGTCTTTGTTACAGAACTGCCAAGTGTTTTACAGTTGGACAAATAAATTCTTTTAAACCGCCAAAACCTTCGATTAAGCTAGCCTGGTAGTTATCTGATAAATCCCAATGTGATTGCTCGGAAAACCCTCATTGGGCTGTACGCTTGCTGTATTAGAATTTGCAAGTTCCATAAATTGTAGTAGGCTGAACGGGTAACTTCGACCAAATGTGATTGCCTCACGCCCCCTCCTCGGGACCTCGTAACTAAGGTGATAGCAAAAAAATTATTCTGAAATGTCCATTTTTCAAAAAATATGCAACTTGGCCACGAATCTCGTGACATTCCTTTGCGCTCACTTTATTTGACTTTGACCTGCTCTAGTTTACCCTTTGGCAACTGCTTATTTCGGAGCTTGTTTGTTATCCCACATCCTGTACGAATGTCCTACTGATTGCGCACCACCACAGAAGACTTCAAGCTCCCAGTTGTTCTTTTTACGCTCTCTCTCTTTCAGTGTTGACGACCTGTGGTCCGAATTGGAGCAACACGTGCACTTGGTGGAGGGCTGCATTTTGGTGCAGGAGTGGCGCGGTGTCGGTGAGACCTGGCAGTGGCAGGGCGGCAGCGGTTGGCAAGGATCTGGTAAGCTGAGCTGTCTTTCCTCCCGAAGCCTGTCGGAGTGTTCCCCCCCTGTCACGGGCGCACAGCATTCTCCTTCAGCTTCTAACTACTACTACCAGTCCTACGGTGAAACCCTCTCCTCATGCCCATCTGTGCC